CGCCAAAAGTGTGCATTTGCGAAACAACTGTAATCGCCCATGATACGCTGGGAAGTGTCTTCCAGTCACCTAAGTTACCCCTCGTAGCGAAAGGGTTAATTATTAGTATATTAGTAATCATGTTTTAATCATCGTTAATAGAACTAGTAATCATGTTTTAAATTCGTGATTATCAGGGATGGCTAGGGAGTAAAAAGTTGCAAATTCACCTACCCATCGAAGACGTGCTGAAAATATTACACAAAAACGGTGCGCCTTCTGAGGTCCTCGAAAAGTATTTGAAATACGTCGACTATGTCGAGAGGCGATTAGAGCTTGCGAAAAATATGCACTGTTTCCGAATAGCGATCGACGTAAGTTCGTAAATGTTTATCAGTAACAACCAAAGTTGCAGGCAAATGATTAAATCTTGAATTTAATTCGACATTTATTGGCTTGAATTATTTTACTTCGTTTAATTAGAAGAATTTTGCTATTAGAAAAATCTGCAATTCTGGTAACAATTCGAACCTCCGATGACTTAAACTCGATTTTTCTATAGATACTCGCCCAACAAGCAGATCGCGTTGCGTTGATGGATTACAAAATGAAACTGCAACCCCAGTCGGAGGAATATTTCTACGCGGAAAGCGCGCTCCGACTGCCATCAGTCAAATGGAAAAACTGACATTAATTCTATTTATTGTATCACATTTTTCATTATTTATTACTCGAAAAAGATAATCGTCACTTGTAAACGAGTTATATTTTATCTCCTGACAAAATCTACGGTTTTAAACATTGATAAAGATTCGTAAATTATTACTCATTAAATTACAGATTTTATTATTTTAAAAGACGTTCCAAATAAAAATCCCTTTTATCTTTTACATATTCCAAGCTACACTCTGCTTTTTTTCTATATATTATAGTGTTCATATTTTTTTATAAATGCATGAACTCTCATTGCGATCTGCTGGATGCTTCTTTTTTTTTTCTCGAGAATTAAGATTCGTCCCACGTGGGGATGGAAATCTCGGAAACCATTTTATTACGTATACACGTGGTCCAATTTTCTCGTTCGCCTATTGCATGAGAAATCGCGGTCAACTTCTATGCGAGTTTATTAATATTTCGAGCGCGTCTCAAGATTGAAATAATAAAAAAATAAGAGATACCAAACGACGGTGTCCCTGGGGTGTTCTTGTCCAAGAGAACCGCCGTGATTGGTGAATACAAAATGGCTATCGAGAAAAGGACGTTGTGAGCGAACGTTAAACCCATATCTGTTCCGTTAACGGATATATCTTCGTTAATCCCTGTGTTCGATTTCGAACATCTCGTACAACGAACCCGTCGTAGCGCCGGTTCGTCGACTAAAAGGCCTCCGTCCGTCGTTGATCCGAGACGACCCGCGTTTCTATTCGTTTGTTCATTTCTTTTGACAGACGCGTGAAAATTGTTGTTGCTACGCGGTCAATTGGACGGAGCCACGCTCGGCGTGATCGTGTATAAAAATAAGTACCCGGCGAGAAAATAGTACAAAACGAGGATAGCTGGTGATAATCGGACAATATTTTTCGGCGATATCGATATCGGACGGGCGTCCGAGTCGTTGTTCTCAGAGGACGAAACCGTTACGAGCTGTCCGTTGTGTTGCGCATTTGAACGATACAGCATATAAGTACACATTTGTCATCGGCGTGCGGGAACCACTCCCGATTGGTGTTACGGTGTTCCCGTGATACTCGGTAAGTAGTCGTTTGTGTCTAATACTGGATTAAAAACGGCTAAATGAAATTATCATGCGACCAACACCAGCTTTTATGAGACGGGCCGGTAGTTAGGGTTACATCCAGCGGAAATATATGCACGCGTTGTGGCGCACGTTGGAAAAGTAGGCCCGAACATGTCGACCACTGTTTCGAGCCAAAAAAGTAAATGGAATGTTGTTCCTTTTAAGTACGCTTCGAGATCGATCGTTTGTTCGCACGATAATTTCGTCGTACGTAGCCACTGTGTCCTACAGATCGAACTCCTCTCAGCTTAATATGTTCTTAGATCGCGTTACGTCGATGTGCTGATTACAAGTTCGATGTAATAAGTTTTGATTGATCTTTTATTATTTCTTATGTTTTAGCTGTGAATTGAACGATTAATATAGACATGGCTGTCAATGTTTATGCTACGAACGTGACGACGGAAAACCTGAGTCGGCATGACATGCTCGCTTGGGTTAACGACTGCCTCCAATCGTCGTTTACAAAAATTGAAGAACTGTGCACTGGAGCAGTTTACTGCCAATTTATGGACATGCTGTTCCCAGGCAGCGTACCACTAAAGAGGGTCAAATTCAAAACGAACCTCGAACATGAATATATACAGAATTTCAAAATTTTACAAGGTGGTTTCAAAAAAATGAATGTAGATAAGGTAAGTTCGTTGAACATCATTTTACTTATTCATCTATTCTAAGTAAAACGTTTCGTGCAAACGTAATCTGAACATCTGGACTCGAGGTTCGATGTTTTGAACAGAAAATATAGAATTAACAATAATGCTATTGAAATGCAAGGATATTGGTAGAAAACTTATATGGAGAATAAGTATTATTGAAATATGAGACAAAAGTGTTTTTTTTTCGACGTATCTTTTGATATTTAGATCAGAAAACGTAGGATTGACAATAATAGTATTTAAAACAGACCTTATGTACAGTATTACATACAATACAGAACCTTATATAGAGAATATATAATATGAAATAAGTATATAATACGAAATCAGATAGTGGTGTCAAGGTAAGCTAAAGCGATGAAACAGGATACTCTGTCGATGTATGGAGTCGTGTTGCTTTGTCAAAGCATCGTAGTGTGCGGTATGCACGGAACTTATGTATCGTATTGTTATCGGAATGGTTCAGGTAATTCCAGTGGACAAATTGGTAAAGGGACGGTTCCAAGATAATTTCGAATTTCTACAATGGTTCAAGAAGTTCTTTGACGCTAATTACGACGGTCGCGAATACGACGCTTACGAAGCTCGCGGGTGCATACCGCTGGGCTCCGGCGTCGACGGAACCCATAACTTGTCCAATCCTCAGTTGGTACCTTTACCGCCTCAATCGAAACAGACGCAAATCCAGCAAAAGCATATGCAACAACGTAACATTACCCCTCATCAACTGGGTACAGCAACATTGTGCCAATTTAATAATCGTTGCTTCACTGCATGTCGCATATATATACATGTACACGTACGATTCGATGAATTACTGCGTTAGACGTCCTGTGCCAGGGATGGGGAATCTTTTAACATTTATGATAGTAACAGTAGACAATAATTCAATATTAGCCATTAATTTTGTTGCAACTTCAGTTGGTCTCCTGATGAATTTAAATTCGTTTAAGGTATAAAAAAGTTCATTCGTGACAGGAAGTAGTTATAAAACACGACGATCATGTTGACGTAAACGTATCCAACTGCATTCGTTTGTATTTCAATGGGTTCATTTTTTGTAATTCCTTCTGATATCTTCTTTCAATTCAATTAATTCTATGAATAATTGAGTAGATAAATAACTCTTTTATCTTAATATCAAGATAAATAAGACTGCACAGAAAATATTACAAGACCGCAGGTTCCCCATCTCTGTGATATCTGTTCAATACAATTATGCACTCGTTAAATATATTTGGAATAACATAGAAACCACTGTTTTCGCTTCGAATCACGTATAAAGCGTACAGTTACACCGATCGAAATTAGATTAGAGCACAATGCATTTTTTCTACATCCATCTATCTGTAGTCTATTATGTACACTCCTGTAATTGTACATGCTTCGTGTATTACGTACATCGTTCATTTTCATCGATGAGTTTTAGTTTTCCACGACACTTATTTACTATAGAGCTAGAATAGTATCGTGACTGTTATTTTTAACAATCTATAAATATACTCAAGTTGGGGGGCTGATTGTCTTAGAGGAATAGAACACGCTGGATTTTCCTCGATCTTCATACCGTGTCTATAAATCGGAAGAGATGTGGCAAAGCTACTCGATCATCTCCTTTTTCACGTCACTATTATAATTTTTCTCTGTTTATATAAAATTTTTTTGCCTTTGTTTTAATTAACGATTTTTTACAATTGTTTGATCGACGCCTCCTCGTTTCGTTATTTTGTTCCACGTGCTTTTTTGCGATCATTTGCAGATTGTTCCAATTGATAAGCTGGTGAAAGGCAGGTTCCAAGACAACTTTGAGTTTTTACAATGGTTCAAGAAATTTTTCGATGCGAACTACTCCAGAACGGAGCCATATGATGCACTTGCTATGCGAGGAGGAGAGGCCATGGGTAGTGGTGGCAGTAACGCACCGCATGGCCATGGCACTAACGCGAAACGCACCACACCACGTGAAGTAATATCTTCAAAACCGGCTGCCCGTATTGGTACATCATTTCACAAATTTACTTATTATTTTCTCATACAATTCAAAATCTTCGAAGCATCATTTATAAAATTGTCCGAGACAGTCTTGAGAGTAATAAGAAATTAACGTTTAATTTCTTCACCGGTTTGCATAATCGAAAAGAGCAGTTGTCAAGGTACAAACGAATTAATGAGAAATCACGATAGATCGTTCAGTATTTCAT